ATTACAAGACATGTTAAACTTTAACAGTTAAAGGAATGAAGGAGAAAAAGGAGGAAGAGGAAGAAGAGGGAAAAAAACAGTTACAACAGAACTATAAAAGCAATAACTAGATAACTATCATAATTACTTTAAATGTAAATGAACTAACTTCGTCTAAGGAGATTTCCAGAAAGGAAAGAGACAGATGAGCCAGAGGCCGAGTGTGGAGAGATCATCGCTGGGAGTTCCGGACCTGGCGACAGACAGAGGCAGGGCCCGGCCGGGGAGCTCACTGGAAAGAGCATCAGCCTGGGGAATGAAGGGTCCCGTGTTTGATTCCTCTGTTGCAGGCTCAATTCCTGTCCCTGGTTGGAGTGTGTACGAAGGCAACAAATTGATGTCTCTCTCTCTCTCTCTCTCTCTCTCTCTCTCTCTCTCTCTCTCCAATCAATCAAGAGGCAGGAATGGAGAGTGGTTTGGAGAAGGGGGGAGAGTGCTGGAGACATCATTGAGATTCATCTCACAAGAGATGCCTGATTCTCTGGGGTCCCCAGGCTGAGCGCTAGATTCCTGCCCTGCCCCCAGAATGCCCCGGGAGATGCCCAGCCCTTCCCCGTGACTCCTGTCCAACCTTGGCCAGGTCCTCCTGCCCACGAGTTGCCGATGGGCAGTTCCTGAGAAGGGAGGGGTCCTCACGCCAGGATAAGGTGACCCGGAGGGGCGGGCCTTGAGACTATTGAAAACATTGTCCCAAAGCGGGCGGGGCCCTCTGCCCGCACTGCCCAGCTCCCGGGAGTGCCCGTCCTAGTGTTGTCCGTGAGAACGTCACCGCTGGGCACCGGGCAGTGCCCAGTCTGTGCAGCTGGACAGGCAGCCCCGCTCCCTCTGGTGCCTTCTCCTCCCACATGATGCCCACGGAGCTTTCCAAGCCTGACCAGTGTTTGTTTTTCCTCTGTGCTTTTTCCCTCCCTCCCGCCCCCCCGCCCTGGACAAGGCTGGCATCCATCACCAGCGGGAGGGTTTTTATGGGGCACTGGAGGGAAGCTAATTATTCTGAGAAGAAGGGCCAGTTCCCTGGCAAACTTTCCAGGCAGGCGGTGTTCTCCGGCCACCCTGGGAGGCCTGGCCACGCCGATGGCTCGCTCGCTCGCTCACTGAGGGTGAGCAAGACCCGGCAGAGCTGTGCAGACACGAGTTTGCTTGGGCACACGCGTGTGCACACCGCCCCTGGGGACCCTGGCCCGGCCGTTTGGCCCGGGATGCAGCGTGGCCTGCTGGCTGCCTTCTGAGTAGAGCATTTGGCCCTAATGTGGGTGGCCTGAGGCACCTGCGCCCCCTCACCCCAGGGCGCAGTAGACCAGGCCCGGATCGCAGGCCAGAAAACGCAGACTGTCATGCCTTCTGCCCGTGGCTCTGTGTGGCTTTGTCAAGTGACTCAGCCCCTCCGGCTTTCTCTTCCCGCCTGGCCCCGCTGCTTCCCAGCACTGCCTCGCCAAGTGCGATAAACGGTAAATCGCGAGCGGCCACTCCAAGGTCGCCTGGGCCACCGCGCACGCCCCT